TGCGGATTCGTACTCCCTAGTCGCAATTTAGCAGGAAAGAACTAACACCAACCATCTTTCTCTGGCTTCCTGCTCTTTCAATGGAAGAAGAGGAAGCCAGCTAGGCGTAAGACGTGTTTTTTTTTCATCGTCAGGAAGCCAACCGGTCTAGCGGCACCTTCGGTCTCTTCAATGGACAGGGAGCTAAAGCTACTAGGCTAAAAACTCGACCGGAAGATAGCAAATGTCTAGGCCCGCTTTCGCAAAGACGACGACCCGGTCATCACCGGCGCCACCTCACAGAGATCTACCACGGGGGTGTTGGACTTTGGGTCACCGGAAATTCGGACGGATCGTCTGCATTCTGGGCAAGCAGAGAGCCGACGCCATGCATCAAAACTGGATTTCTAGATGTCAGCAGCCCATAGCGGCCCCCCGTAAACTACCGTCGCGAAGACCGCTGCCTGACGCTCTTCTTCACCCTCTGCATCATCCCATTATTATTGTCATCATTCACATTATTTATTTGTACTATACAATTTCATCATCATTAGAGGCGGCGCTGGAGTCCGTCAAGATATGGGGAATTTGCCTTTCTTCGGCGCCGCGGCTCTTCAAAACTAAATGTATGTATATATACAACACGGGCACTCCACACCATCGTACGTGGTCTCCGAGAAGGATATAAACGAATATGTGCAGATAAATGAGCCGTACTTAATCCAATGAATCAAAAAATCAAAGATTTCAGGAACCCGCCGAAAGCCAAAAACCGACGGAGCCAGGAGCCGTTTTCTGGCTTTTGGCGGGTTCCTGAAAACTTTGATTCTTTGATTCATTGAATTAAGTAGGGTCCATTCATCTGCACATATTCGTTTATATCCTTCTCGGAGACCACATACGATGGTGTGGAGTGCCCGTGCTGTATATTCAATAACGTGGCTCCTGATTCTCGCAGATGATGAAGATACCGTGTCTCTAAAGCTCATAAACAAAGAATACTACATGTACACGGGACGAGACAAACAGTGGGAGGATTTCTGGAGCACAAACGAGCACGTACCACGTGACACCAAGCGTCGTACCGCGTTCCTCGCGGCGGCGTGTGTTTCCAGAACACCTTCAATTGTATACATTTCGTTTCTTGTGCATTAATAAGACAGATAGGAAACGCCAGAAAGCCAAGGTGGAGTGATATCGAGGTTAGCACACCCGGCCGGGCATTGGGAGGCCCAGAGTTCATATCCTGGCTCCGCCGTTTTTTTGCTTTCGGCGGGATCCTGAGAACTTTGATTCTTTGATTTGTTGCATTAAGTACGGTTCATTCATCTGAACATATTCATTTATATATATATATATATATATATATATATATATATATATCATAACAAGGCGCTATACTTTCCGGTTTTAACCGAAAAACACCGATAAACATCCGCTGGTGTCGAAATCCGAGTTAAATAAAAGCCAAAATTTCTGGATTTTATATATTTTTATGCAGACATGAGTTTTTTTTACCAATATGTAAATGTTTGGCAAACTTGTTCATTTTTTTTGCAGTTGTCTTTAAGGTCTTCTAAGTTCTCGTAGCAATCAAGATGTATTTCTTCAGTCAGTGCTGATTACTTCGACCTTCAGTTTATATCCCAAAACGGTTCTCCTCATTGTGCCCTTTTGAACCTTAGTAGACTGTTTTGAAGCATCTTTCATATTCTGTCGGTCGAAGTGCGTCCGGAACCTGCATTTACAAAGCTGGCCAAAAGCCTCCCAAACATCTTTGGAGATTTCCGACTTCCCGTGTCTACCGCTAATGTAGAGCGCGCGCTTTGGAAAATGCACGCTGTCAACAGAAAGGAGCAGGCGGGAATGACAGATGCGAGCCTTGCAATGTATGCATGCATATTATAGAGCAATAACGTGTGCTAAACCTTGTGTATTATATCTAATTAAAAGTTAAACCATATCTCGTCTTTATTGTTCTTTTCTATTCGCGATTTGATCCGTCGATTAAAGCCATTTTAATCGCCTGCACGAGACAATTCGCAGAAATGCACCGGTATCTTGAAAATTTAAAAAAAAAAACGAAAAACATTTGCCGATTGTTTACACAAACAAAACGCCGGAAAGTGTAAGCCTAATCATATCATATCTTAATCTCTATGAAAAACAAAGGTTCTCAAGCAGTGGATGTTCTCTATCCTCTTTGGAGGATATGACACAACCACATGAAGGGACAAAAACGATTTGCATGTGAGACTGTTGTCAGCTGCAGATTACACAGATAATCTAGAGAAATCTAAATAAAAAAAACGTTAAAAACATTGTATTTATTGAGTAATATGTAATAAATGCAATTAAATGAAGATTCCCATAGGTATGTTTATTGCTAGTACTTCACACAACGTTCACGACTTTCAGTCATAATATTAACTTTAATTCTAGTTTTTTTTTTTTTTTAACCCTACTCCTTATTCGAGGATCTGAACATATAATTTTCAAAAGGTTCGCTTGGCATAAGACACTGTTGTACTAATTGACAATAACAATTACCTGCAATCCCTATTATTCTTGCTAGTAGGTTGCGCTCTGGCCGTTGCCATAATTGTGCTGGTACACCCAATCGGCAGTTCGTTTTATTTTCATGTATTTATCTGCTCTTCCAAGAGTCTGCATGCGAGTAGCACGCTCTGCCATGCAAATTGCCGCAAGATACAGATTTGTTTATAGGTTCTGATTAATATAGCTACGCCCAACTTTACACCTTCTACAACGCATCGCAGCGTGCAGTTTAAATAAAGTTGGTAAAACTTGCAGCACAAACAACAAAAAGTTAACTTCCTTTCATGTTAATCTAGAAGTAAAAACTTTTCTATGGCTGAAAGCTCCTATGGGCACCATCGGGGAGCTTTATGCTGGCGTAAGTGCAAGGCATGCACGCATTACAACGCATGAAAACTTCATTTCATAGAACTCTCGCATGACTGCGTTGAAGTTAGTCGCGCCATTCTGGAACTTCACCTGGCGATTGAACAGAGTAAGGGCAAGGAGCCGAGACACCCGGTCCACAACGCGGCACACTGTCTTCTGCGGCATGTTTACAAGGTACCCATAAAACTTGGAACGTCCCGGCACCATAAAACTGCTTAGCGACGAGAAGTTGAATCATCGCTGAGAGCGGCAGGCCCCATGATTATTGGCGTTCTCCTCCACCGGCAGGAACTGGGGCATGCTCGCAACGGTCCTTCTCATAAAGCAGTGCCACGCAATAAAATCGCTGCCATTAACATGTTTTAGCGAGTTAAGGCGATCCCTGAAACAACGTCTTCACACATTTACTCATTGGCTGTCGCCTTCGTTGCCATAGAGCAGATCTTTTCCCTTTAAACGAATGTTCACAAACTCCGCGAACGACTGGTCGGCCACCATGACTTTCCAAACTGGCTCCGAGCACCTACTAAAGGTTGCGCCGGAGCAACCTCGAGATTCTCGAGGAAATGGCCGAGTATTTTCGCCAGTCGATGAGCGTTTGGGGCCGACGTGCCCCCGCCCCCCCCCCCCCCCCCCCCCCCCGCCCCGAGGTCACGTGACCCCTCCCCCGAGGTCAGGTGACCCCCCGAAGCATATTAAAGAATGAAGGGAGATGGAGGAGAAGGAGGAGGGGTCCACTCTCCTCTCAGTGCCCTTCCCTCCTCCTCCTCAAGAACTGCGCTCCAATTCGGCGTTACAGGGAGTTGTAAACGGCTTTCACTTTTGTTATATAAAAACTAGCGCATGCAAAACAAAAAAACCTGCTTTTTTTCTTTTTATATTTTTGACTATGGCTAATTGCTGCATTTCATTCTCCAAAGAAATAACATTGTTACACCGCCCATTTACTAAATGTTAAGCCCTCCATAGAAGATTTTCTACCCTTGAAGCTGTTATACCCACCATGTCAAACATTTTCTTCCCTTGACGCATTTTTTTTTTCGAATTCAAAAACAATTGGTCGGTTTTTTCCGTTATTGAGGAAACCGTCTTATGGGTATCTTTTTACGTTTATTGGTATTTCGCCAAAACGAACGGAGCACTAATTAAAGCACCGAATTTCTTTTTGAACTTAAGCTATTGTCAACAGTTCTTACTAGTTTGATATTCGATTAACGGTCAACTCTGTTTCGGATTAGCTAATCGGCTATGAATTCAAAAATAAGAAAAAAATATGACGAAATGGTCTTAAATGAAGCCGAAAATATATCTTATCACTTGCAGATTGAATTGTTTCACTTTCGGCAAGGGTCTATTAGACCCTTCCCGAAAGTCAGTGCCATTTGGTGGCTATAATGGCAGTTTAACAATTGCCGTACTAATGGCGGCAATGAAATTGTAGTCTGCCATATTTTATCGGGCGCCGTCATTTCGGAAAGTCAACGCCAAACGACAGTGTGCGCTTCACTGTACATTTCCTTCTCGATCTCTTTTAGTGACTATAGAAACAAAGATGCAACCAGTCAGAACGAAGCGTCAACCCACGTACACGGCTTTATAAAGTTCTACAAATCAATGGGCTTTGGAGCACCTTGATGTTACCAACAGATTCACTGGGCCCGAGCTAGAAATGAACACCTTACGCAGATCTTGCTTTCAGTTCCTGCTTCGTATCGTGCTGACGTCACGAATGTATAAGCATCGAATTATCTGCAAAGGAGCATTTTCATTTTCTTCCTTCATCAGTAAACAGAAGGCCGCCATTAGTACGGCACAAATGACATTTTTCAAATGATGATAGCGATCAAAGTTGCCAGACTTAATTTGGGATAGGGTCTATTGTATCTAAAAAGTTGTCCTCAGTACGACCAGTGACGCAGGCCTAAGAGTATGGCTTTGCGAATACGTTTCATTTCTAAAATCACTCGCGTAGGAAAGGATCTTCGAAAGCTGCACGCTGTCTCTAATTTGTTCGCTAGCACTAAGTACTACTCGTAAGATTCAGTACCGTTTAAGTAATGAATTACCTTATGACACTGTCCATAAATTTGCAGGTTAATTCTCGCAGATGCATTAGAACCTTTTTCCGAGGCGGAAATCCGAGTACAAGGTGCGTATTCTCCTTTTCTATATTGTCATACCAAAATATAGAGTAATATAGTATCTCCTAGGCACAATGTACAAATATAATATTGTTTAATTCACAATGTGATAAATATATGCTTCATAAAAATTCTTTTTTGACGCTAGTTCTTGCAACTGTAATAGTCAAAGGTGTTACGGCAGGAAAATTTGCGGCGTATCGAGTAAGTGCAGCTTGACTTCCGTAGTCAATGGAGGCTGCTCTCTTCAGTTTGACGGCGGCGAAGTCGATGGTGCGGCGTCGTTGAGGGGTGATATAGAGCGACGACGAACTGGATGCGGGGACAAGGATCGGCCACGGCGGTTCTGGGATGTGAAGACGGGACTCTGAAAGCGGCGGGTAGAGTTACGGTCGTTGTCTTCATAGGTCAGTGAACGGTGTGTTGGGAAGCGAGGGAGCGTAGGGGCGTAGGTGGTTCAGCTTTCCGGAAAGACGGCGCTGTCTTCAGGACCGTCAGTGCAGAAAGTACAGCCGAATGTAGAAAGGTGGTAGCCAGCGTCATGCAGCCGCCGACGGCAGTAGCGCAGAATGATGCCAGGTGTATGGAAATAGTAGCAAATAGGTTGCTGGTCCTCAGACCTCCGGATGTCTGTTCTGCGACGCGGTTGATTTTCTTGAGCTGGCGGGTGCGAAGAGGGGAACGTCTGGTAGGCGCAGAGCTAGGTGACTGCGGGTACCGCTGGTGAGTAAGCAGGTGACGTGGTTGTCAGGGGGTGCAATGCAGCACGCATCTCGTTCTGGATCTTAGTTCGAAGACTTTGGAGTTCTCCGTGCGACTGCAAACCATCAGGAGCTGTCCGTAGCTGCGCCTTAAATTCTTCCAGCTCCTCGCGAATAATGGTGCGCATCAAGGTAGTCAGACTGTTGTCCATTGGAATGCTGTGGGCCACTTCGGGAAGGCGGTCTGAAGGGCGTTTTAAAATTCGCGCGCCGTCGAGTTCTTCGTATTTCCTGTATTCTGCAGCAAGGATGGTGACGGTTGCGGGGGACTTTGGGGCGAAGATCGAAAAAATATCGCATGACAGTCCTTTCAGCAAATGACGGACCTTGTCGTCCTCGGTCATCTGGGGGTCTACTCGCCGGCAGAGGCTTAGAGCATCCTCGATGTAAGCGGTAGCGGACTCGTCTTTAATTTGGTAGTGTCGGAGCAATTGTTCCCTGGCCTGATGTTTCCGATGTTCTGGTTTGCCGAACGCTTCGGCAAACGGGGCCTTGAACCCATCCCAGGAGTTTATGGTGTCCTCGTGGTTGTCGAACTAACGGAGCGCCGTGGCTTTCAGAAAAAACACGACATTGGCCAGTTTGAAAGAATCGTCCAAGTTGTTGTGGTGACTCACCCGTTTATAGTTTTTAAGCCAGTCATCGACGTCCTCATCTGAAGTTCCTGAGATTATTGGAGGATCCCGCTGGCGGTGTTTCCCAGTAAGGGCAGGGGTGGTCCGCTACGAGATGGGTTGGTCGGTGTCGTTCCCATTTTCTTCGGGCGTGGTAAGCCGCGCCGTTCGGCCACTGCGGAGCGCCAGGATGTTAGCTAGAAATGAGGAAGTTGTTCGCACCTCCAACAACCTGTAAGACTTCAGATGGGTGGATTTAATGGGGTGATAGTTGACTGAACGATGGCCGTCTTGGGCGAACGGACTTCTTCCACTACCTTCACCTCAATATATAATCGTAAAATTGGAAGTGATGCAAAATACAACCAATATTTAATATGATGCAATACTGGCGCAAGGGAGAGAAATTTCGGCAGAAATAGGGAAATTTCAGGCGTCCGTTAGGGAAATTCTAACATGCCGTGTTGGCAACCCTGGTTCTGTGTATAAAGTTTATTAATGCTATTCCCAATATAAGTGGTATATAAACAATTTGTAGCTACCTTCATCTCCACAGTCCGTAAATGCCTATAGTGCAGTAGCTAAGATGCGACCGTTTAGGTTTGTTTTGAGAACACGGAAGTATCGCGTCAAAAAGCAGAAAAACCTATTGTTTAATATAGCAGGGAAACTCAAGTGAAAGAGATGACATCAATTTCGCCGGAAAATTTAGTAATGAGGAGATGAAATTGGTGCGGACTTCACGTTACGTCAGATCACATAACTTTAATTCTCTCCTTCGTTTTAGCGAAGGAATGAACGGGCATGCGTAGAAACAAATATGCGAAATAAGGGTTGGGTTTCGTTACAACAAATTCCGTGCCTTAGGTATACTTTGAATTGTCATGATTTGTACCAAGATTCGTCATTCAAAGATCCAGCATTTTCGAATCCTTGATAACGATCTGTTTCTACATTATCCCCCTCAATCAGCGACAAGACGTTCTACTAATTTTAACAACTTCGTTACCCTACTGAAGAAGCCCTTATACCATTTCACTATCTCGGGTATGAGACTGTAAATTCAAATGAAGTTTTTTGTGGAAACCTAAAATCCGATTTGCAAACAAAAAATAATCTTTGACAACCTAAAATCCAGATAAAATCGAAATAACTTTCTAGATTCCTAATGCTAACAGCTAACAATTACACTGGGTTTTTCTGTAGGGTAGCGAAACAAAGCAATAAAGGTGTAGTAAACATCGCTTCGAAAGAAAGGTGGTCATAGGGAAGCGCTCCACTCTGATTGGTGGTTGTCAACAGTACTGCAGCTAATTCAGTATTGTCGGCGTTAGCGAAAAATATAACGAAATACAATACTCGACATGCAAAATAAAAGAAAACGCGTTACCAACCTACATTACCTCACAATAAAAGAGTCGCATTACTTTTACCTTTACCGATAAAAAGTAAAATACGTTATTTTTCATTACTTTCATGTATAAACATATGGTAGCAGCCTTTTTGTTGCGAAGGGGTTTTTCGGCACGGGGACAAAGGGCGTGGGTGTTGCGGTTTCTGTAAAGTGGGACATTTTACGTAGTGAAAATATAAGCATCCATTTGAAGGTATGCGGCATGCATGCATTAAATAATCCCTTTGGAGCCTATACTTCGTATAGACTTAAGTACAAACATAGCCGACACTACGAGCTAATGGGATCAACTAAGCAGCGTCAGAAGTGCAAGTCACTGGACATTTGTTATTTACGATTAATTTCGGAAGAATACAACTAAGACAATGATGGTGCCTTTTCGACGCTGTCTGTTTGGTTCTATCAGCTCGTAGCGTCGACTGCTCTTGGACTTAAGGTAAAAAAAAAAGTATAATACTAGGAAAAAAATGAAAGACGTTGACAATCCCCTGTAACGCCGAATTAGAGCGCAGTTCTTGAGGAGGAGGAGGGAAGGGTATGAGGGGAGAAGGTGGAAAGTCCCCCACTACTAACATGGATGTGGATGGACGTGTGCTTAACGCAAGTCGCAGAAATATTCACACCTTTGGTGAGAGCAGCGCGTGTGAATTTGGCGGTAATTTAGCGGAGCAATTTTTCCCCTACCTTTAGGGGGGAACGTTTGTCAGTAGATTTAGCGGGGAAAGATTTTTCGCTAGAGTTAGCGGGGAATTTCTTGCGTTATTGACGTCACATAAGACGTCACCGGTGATGTCCCAGATGATTCATCAGTGATGATGACGATGACGTCACGTAATGTCACTGGTGGTTTTTATGACGTCACGTGACATTATCGTCATGTGTGACGTCATCAGTGACGTCACCAGTGATGTCACTCGTTCCATAAAGCACCGCGGGGTTACGCCAACGGCGACGGCGACGTCGCTCAAGCCAGAAACTGGTGCCTAAGAGCTGCGCTCTCAAAAATGTAAGTATACTCCTTTAGGGTTTGGGAAGAGCATGTAACGAGTAACGTAACTTCCGGGTGTTTGAGAGAAATCTGAGCCTGGCTTTTCGCACGGCAAAAATGAACTAGAAGTATCGGAGAGCCCGAACTCCGCGAGAACGTAGCCTGAGTCGTTCGAGCAAGATGCCAACGTTTCAGCACCAACCATTATGTTACGCAAAAGTTTTAGGTGATTTTCGAAAATTTTCAATACAAAAATGAAGTCCACTATGTATCCGCGAGCTCCGTCGGCCACCATTTTTTTATTAAAAGTTTCAGAAGAACACTTTTAACTTTTGAATAAAATAACCGTTTGTGTTGAAACCTTGGAATCTTGCTCCAACAGCTGTGGCGACGTTTTGACGGAGTTTGAGCTCTCCCCGACGTCTAGTCTATTTTTGCGGCGCGAAAATTCGGGTTCCGATTTCTCACAAACACCCGGTATGTTACCCGTTACTGAAAATAAGTAACGTGAGTGCTTTACCAATAACTGCTTGAAGAATATAACACGAACGTTACTACGTTGACGAAAATAGGAACGCGTTACCGGTAACGCCGTTCCTTGTAACGTGTTACTGCCAATACTAAGCGAAGCAAAAGTAATAACGCAGATTTGCTGGTGAACAGTCATACTTAAACAACAACAAAAACAAAAAAAAAAAAACGAGAGGAGGAAACAAACTAAAAAGGACGAAACAACGTCGTTGTGTTATCTTTTTATTTTCTTCTTTTTCTTCTTCCTTGAGGTTTTATGAGTGCGGTAGACTAGCCAACAATAGATAAACCGAAAAGTTTAAAATATAATACTCTCAGCCTATTCGCCGTAGCATAGAAGTTATCGCTGTGACATCAGAAGAACTCGCAAAACATTTTCTTCTGATCGACGTAGTCATACTGTGCGTTTAAAAGTGACCTTAAAGGGCAACTCCACTCAAAAAGTCGACCCTATTGAAATGACAGATATCGCTTTAGGGGGGCAAAATACGGTCATGCCCAAAATATCACGTCAAACCGACGCCGCATTACCGATTAAAACCAATATTAAGAGTGTTCTCCCGGCTCGGTTAGCGGCCCGAAGCGGGTGAGCAACGCTGGCACCGGGTGAGCTAGTGAAGCAACACTGGGCAATGACGTAGATCCAGCCCTACGCTCTCGTACGGACGCCGCGGACGCTTCGTTTCCCGTGGCGTTCTGC